GTTTCTTCATATTTTTTAATTTTTTAATAAAATTGCGCAATGACTTTGGACTTTTAGGGGTGGAGAATTTTTTAAGGGTACAAGTGGAAATACTACTTGAAGGGGCAGCTCGTATGCTCGTAAGTGGCTGTTGTGTTTAAAAATCAGTGTTTATGTAATTATTTTCAGATTACATATTCAACATGTTTTAATTATTCAAGGCAGTCATATTTGTTCATCACTTTATTATTAGTAAGCCTGAGAGTGACTGGATCCAAGCAAACAGTTACCAGAATGCACCCTGTCAAAATAAGTGTTCTCGGATTCTGTTCCTGCAAGATCCTGCTCAAATTAAGCCCAGAGCTCAAATATGGTGTTGTAGTAATTAAAATATGTAGGCGTCATATAACAGACTGTGCAAAACCTTTGTTTCAAACTGTAAGATTACCTGTATGAATCAACCTGTCTTTAACAGGTAATCTGTCTCCATCTGTCTGTTAACAAAATTTATTGTGACACACTGGATTTAATTGAAACTATAAGAAAATAATATTTGAACATTTATCTACATTTACTTTTTGGGGTCAACCCAATGCAAGATGTGTGTCACATTTAATTGAGCTTACCAAACACAAAAAGTATTACACAATCAATTTTACTGTTACTGAGCAGAAATTTGGTAATCTCTGAGGTATAAGACAAATTAAAGAAATCTTGCAAACTCACGTCACATGCACTTGTTATTTTCACGGTTTGACCCAAAATACTTAAAACGCCATTATATTTTTAGATTTTTTTTTAAAGATTGAAAAACTTTAGTTAAAAACTCTAGCATGAAAGGTGGCAGGCAATATGAATTATTTCAAGGAATGCTAGGCCTTTTATTGTCATTACTGCTTAAGTTAAAGATGGACAGTCTAGTGATGGTCCTTTCTTTCTTTAATGGTGCTCAGATTCACGTCAGTCTCTCCCTTTCTGATTGACAGCTTCCCCCGTCTTCAAGTCTGAATAATTTCCACAACCTTCACTAGTGAGGTGGAAGGTGTTTTCTTTTTCTCAAGGGTTTACTTCCAAGTCAAATATACTCGAGAAGTCGGAAAGCTCTTGGATCAAACAGGAATATGTTGTTGTACATGGGAAAACTGGTAGTTGCAACACACCCTGGCTGTAAGAGGTGCTCGGCTGCTGAGGCAGAGGAAAGCTGCAGAGCGACCACAGTGACTCCTGCAGCTGTAGCTGTGTGGTAAGTGATCTTATTTTCTAAAGTGTGACACCACAAAGGAACTGTGTAAGTGTTTGATACCTTTTACGCCTAAATTGTAACACTCCATTCTTTCAGATGTGATGAAAACAAAGAAGCAACAACATAAACGGTCTGAAGTGTCGTGTGCCAAAAAAGAAATTATGGAACAAACAAGAATGAGGACAATAAACAGAAAACAAGCTTCTATTTAAATTGTCTGGCTTGACTTTTTTTTTTTTTCTTTTACAAATTTGGTGATGTAATTGATCATGAAGCAGTTGTTGGGCGTGCCGGTGCAGTTGTTGTGTCGCAGCGCTGCCTAATTAGCCAGCTATGACCGATGACCCAGGACAGGATATGATGCGTACCTGCCTCTGTAGCTTTTGTAAACACTTGGGTGTGTTTTTTTCCCCCTTGATCATTTTTTTCTCCTTAGCAACGGGTCATAAGAAAAATATGTTAAAGTCCTCCCATTTAGTCCCATAAAACACTGTACTTTGTGCCTTCCAGTGACTATTCCACCAAGTTATTTTTAGTAACTCCTATGATAAAGTGTCTTGCAATTATGCATACACAGATCTTTATTTAGACAGAGGGTCTGGTTTAATTGACTAACGCGTTCTAATAAATGTTTGGTAAATTTACAATCTTCATTGCTAATAACAAGCCTCAGGAATGAATATCTGATGCTTTGGTGTTTGCTTTTGAGAGTGTGATTGCATGTAGGTATACACACGTGTGCAGTAGAACTTTTTTTCTGGGAACACTTTCAAAATGTTATAAAAACGTCTCCCATGCCCCTTTAATTCTAACTTAAAAAGTGTTTTATTAAAAGCCGATTGAATTACTTAAGTACCACATAATGATGTATAAAATTTCTCTCAAAGGCAAACTCCAAGGCAATACATAAAAACACATTTATTTTTTACATATGTTTGTCATTTTTATTTTTCCTTTCAACAGTGTCCAGGTCTTTAATCCTTTTAAACCAACCATCCATCTAAGTCAATCTTTCTCCTCGCCTCTTCCCTCAGCTGTTCCATGGCTCTGCTCCGCTGGGATTGATACAATATTTTCCTAGCTCAATTAGCAGAGAGCCTGTTGACTAATTCCAACTGTTATTGCACCTGAGAAGGAGCTGGGAGTCAGAGCTGGAAAAACTGAGTGGGGTGGAGGTAAAGGGTTGGGACCTGGGTGTAGCAGGCAAAGTTGTAGGGGTAATACAGAGTGTAGTTGCAGCACAGGCTGCAGGGCAGGCTGAGGAGCATCCTGAGCTGAGCACAATTTATGACTGTGCTGAGAAATGCAAAGTCTTGCAATAGAAAAGTACAGGCAACGATATGTTATACAAAACACATCCCAATACTCACTGAGTACATACCTGGTACGTATCAGCTAAGTACGTAGTACTTACAAGGTACTAAGTAGTTACAGAGTAATTACAAGGTCTGCACTGGGTGCATGTTCCACGTATAGAGGATGTCGCTGGTACTTATAGGATTTTATGGAATATTTATGGGGTATCTAAACGGGTATTTATATAGGGTAAATATCTGGTATGTACCCTACAAAGTATACCATATAAAGTGTACCCTACAAAAGCCTCTACCCCATCTTGGGGGCCAAGATGAGGTAAAGGCAGGGCAGCCAACTCAGGACCTGAAAGTCCCTGGTTCGATCCCCAGCCATTCCCACATGTCGTGGTGTCTCTGAGCAAGACACCTAATCCCTAATTGCTCCCCTGGTGCTTACATAGCTGCTCACTGCTCCACCTGGGTGTATCCCAGGTGCGATGGGTTATGTGCAGAGAACCAATTTTGCCATTGTATGGGAACATGCAATAATGACAGCACACATAGTACTTATAGCTAACATGTACATAACTTGTAAAACCTTACATACCAGGTATGTAAATACCAGGTGTGTAACTTGTAATGATTAAGTTTGTACCTGGTATGTACCCTGAAAATACATGATAACAAAGTACTTCATAATGCACCTTGTCCCTGCAGAAAGCTTGTGAGTACTCCTTAAGGTACATTTTATATAAACTCTGTAGAAGTACAGTTCGTACACTGTGACTGTAATGTAAATGTACCTAGTACATTTTAGGCTGTATTATGTATTGCCATTATACATTTAATTACTTTGTACTTTGAAAATACAATCATCTAACAATATCTCCAATATTGCTTTTTTCTTTGTATTAAAATCAGACTGAAACGTGTTTTTCAGTAATTTTGACAAAATGCTTAAGAATAACTGTCCTTTGTAGTTTAAATTAATGTCAATGTCACAGTCTAATTTCAGTGTTCACTTTTCTGCTAATCCCTCCACTCAAATCAAGTGTGGCCAAGCTCAGAAAGCCTTAAGTTTGATTGAAAGCAAGCACACAGAAATTAAGACATTAAACCAGACTCGTCTCATTATGAGGTTCAACCACAGAAACAAGACCCGTTTTGTTAGGGCAATGCCCACATGACCGCTTGTTTGGCACCGTGGTCAGCTTGGTGTGCAGCTACACATCCTAAAACTATATTTTTAATGAAAAGCCACTGCACCTTCCCTATCATCAAATACAAATTGTTTCTTATTTTCTCATAAATTTTACAAATATCTTATATCCCCCATTGCGACTTCTGTCTGGGAAGTCATTCAGTGTTTGGATGGAAATATTTTTACAGCAAAACATATACATGAACTACAATGAAAAAAGTCAACATGAATAAGTCTAAAAATTCTAACTTTGAACAGATGTATTTAATATCAACTTGAATTTACACCAAAGTGTTAAAAATAAATGTTAAGATCTTGCCAGGAGTGTTATCCTGACATGTCAACCAGTCTGCAGTTTAGAGCTCAGTGAAAGAGCAAAAGACTGAATTGGTCCATTAGCTGGACCCAGCAGCTGTTTCCCCCTCCCCAGAAGCTGTATGGAAAAAAGTGTGACTCACCCACTTGTGTAAAAACGGTAATAACCACATAAATAATACTGTCAAAGGCTAAAATGTCTCTAAGGACTATCCAACAATATGGTCAGCAGGTGACTAATGGAGAGATAGGTCAGATGGTGGCCAATGTCACTTCACCTGATTCAGTCAAAGATCTGAAGACGTTCACTGATGGACATTCTGAACATATCAGATCTTTATGAGTCTCTGAACTTCAGACCATGTACTGTATAGACTAGGTTTTACTTGTACACTGAATTGAAGAGTGTGCTGCTGTGCTACAAAGAAGTTGTCTTGTCTGAACCACATAGCAAAATGTGAGAACCAATGGAAGAATCAACTTATCTGTACACAGTAACAAACCAGTGCATGTACTGGGAGAATGAATGACAAAGAATATAAATATATTTTAGTTTTGTTGCTTTAAAAATATATGTTTCAGTTTACTTCTACTACTTAAGACTGATGCACTCTCTCCACAGTTTTGACACGTTAATAGCCAGTGAAACTGAGACTTCTTTTTTCTCCCCAAAGCCCAACTTACACCAACTGATACTCAATGTCTTTCCTCAGTGTCTGCTGTCCCATTAGTCTTTATCCACACAAGGGTATTCCCTTCTTACTTAGCAACGCCTCACTCATGCTCTAAACACAACACAAATAGCTCAGCTATAGTATAACCATAGGAGATCCCAATGAACTGCTATAAAAGCAAAGAGATAACGAAGTTCAGCCATAAAAATAAAAGTGATAGCATCAAAGGGCATCTCGGCACTTATTTCAAATACACAACATGACTTCACCACAGGCTTTTCCAGATCACTTACTGTCAGCGTAGTTTTTTCTCCGAGTGCCATCCACCTTTCCTGTTTTGTCAATGCAGAGAAAGAACTTGTTGGCAGAATAAAGTCGCCGTAGTCTGACGTCACCTTCCAAATGATTATAACTGCGAGTGTGTCTCTCCAGTGTCCAGGAACAGTTGGTGCCACTTCCCAGGACCTGAAGGGGTTCATGTCCTGCACGAGGAGGAGGACAGGCTCCTGTGACACTGCCAGCGGTGACAAGGAGCAAGGTGAAGCATATCAGGGTAAGAGAGGCTGCATTGGGCAGAGGGACAAAGAGCCCAGTGGGGACAGCAGCAGCGGTGGTGCCACAGACAGGTTCAGGACAGAGATGAGCCACGGATGCCGTCCATCTGCACATGTTGGGTCAGGCTCCCAAGGTGCACCTTGTGCAGGCTGTAGGCATGCTGATGATTAAGTGTTGTTTCTGCAGAGGGTGGGAGTCCTGAAGAGCAAAGGGAGGGGAATGACACTTTCAGCGGATCCTTTGGATGTCAGATAGCCAGTCTCCACCTTGGGCTCGCAGTAGGCCTCCCTTTTAGAACATCAAAACTGCAAAGTCTCTTCAGTTGTCATCTTCAGTTTTTAGTTCAGCTGGTCTGCTTTTTCAAAAAGTCCACTTTTAAGAAGCTTCTTCTTGATACTACTACTTCGTTACCTTCTGGTGTCCTCCTCCTTGGACTGAAGTCTTCATCACTGACCCACAGCGAAAATCCTGGGAAGTGTTTGGGTAAACACAGGTTGTTGTTTTTTGTCTGTGTGCAATTAAAAGGATAAGTGTGTGTGTGTGTGTGTGTGTGTGTGTGTGTTTCTGTATGTGCGTATGTGCACCTTGCGATGCTCTGCTCTTTCCAGCTGGATAGGAACAAGTTGCCTGTCTGAGCTGCTGACCCGTGGCTGAGAGAGAGTTGAATGAGGATTGGTGGTGAACTGACTCTGCATGTGTGTGTGTGTGGGTGTGTGTGTGTGTGTGCGTGGGGGTGTGTGAGTGTGTGATACTGAGAAAAAAGAGAAAGCATTGAGTATGGGAGGGGGAGAGAGCTGGTGTGTGTTTGCAAAGGACAGTTAAAGGGAGGCAACAAAAGTGTTTAATTCAATTCAGTTTACTAATATAACACCAGTTCACAAGAAAAGTCATGTCAGGGCAATGCACAAAATCACTCACATAGGTTATAAAATCAGAGTCACAGAGTCAGAGTTTTCATATTGTCATTCGCACCACAAGTGGTACATGTGGTGGAATGAAGTTGTGTACACAGGGTCCCGATTACATCCAACAATAAAATGTAAAAGAAAAACAGTAATGAGATCTGACATGAACTAAGAAAAACATCAACTAAAAATATGCTAATACTATAAATACGTATATACTAATAGCATAAAAACAATAAAAACAATATACTAAACAGCAGCACGAACATGAGTCTGCATGAGCAGATGAGTATGAATGGACACAGCAACATGAAGCAGATCAGCAGCTTTATGATGTGATTTTTTTCACAGTCATTATCCTGATTCGAGATTCATGAGTCTAACAGCCTCAGGGTAGAAGCTGTTCCTCATTCTAGTGGTTCTACACTTAATGCTCCTCAACCTCCCTCCTGAGGGGAGTGGTGCAAAAAGTGTGTGTTGTGGGTGAGTGGGGTCCTTCGTGATTCAGGTGGCCAATTATTAATGCAAATTGTCATGATGCAGGTGGCCAATTAAAATGTCAATTATTAAAAGTTATATATCTAAAGGAGCTAGAAGATTGTTTTGAATTTTCACCTCATCACAATCTCCCATCCTGAGCAGCATATTGGCGACAGTAGAAAGAAACAACTTCCTTTTAACAGGATGGACAGCCATTGCCTTGACTGGCTGGGGTAGAGTAAATGGAAATGGACTGTACTTATATAGCATCTTTCTATCTTATCAAGACACTCAAAGTGCTTTATAACACAATCTGTGCCCTCATTTACCCATTCATCCAGCACTCTACTAGATCTCAACTCATGCATTGGAGGATGACTGCTCTAACCACTCAGCCACAGCCACCACAAGAGGACAAGTAAGAGATGCAGACAAACATATAATGATTGGGCTAGGTGTAATTTCTATGGGAATAAAAAAGATGAAGAAACACATGCCAATGATATAAATATTTACAAACAAACATGGAGTACATTGAGTAAAGACAGCAGCAGAGAAAGAAATGTGGTCAATTTGTCCTTCAGCAGTCTGAGCTTATAGAAACATAACTAAAGGATAGCTCAGGAAACCCAAGTCAACCCTAACTATAGGATATATCAAAAATTAAAGGCTTAGTTGTAATCCCAAAAGTAGACAATGTGTCAGCCTCACAGACTGAAACTGGAATTTTGTTCCATAAGAGAGGGGCCTGATAACTGAACGCTGCCTTCCATCCTTTTTTTTTTTTTCATTCAACCTTTATTTATACAAGTACATCCCATTGAGTCTCGAGGACTCATTTGCAAGAAAGACCTGATTTCAACAAAGAATGATGACAACAATGGACAACAGTGACAACAATAGACAGTTATAAAAAGTCATATAATTTTTTATTTGTTTTAACAAATAGGATGGCTAAAAAAAAAGAAAAGTAACAAAAAAGAAAAGTAACAAAAAACAGATTCTTAAAGCCACTTAGAGAGGTCAAGGTCGAGAGCTTCAGATCTTTTTGTAAGATATTCCAAGAAACAGGAGCAGAGTAGGAGAAGGCGTTTTTGCCTAGTTCAGTTGGCACTGAGGGAACACTGCTGGTAATAATGTCCTGAGAGCGCACGCTGTAGCTGCACTCACACAGAGACATGAAGGTGGAGATGTATGAAGGCAGCAGACCAAGAAGTGATTTAAAGATGAAACTGTACCAGTGAGAGAGTCTGTGTGAAGTTAATGATGTCCAGTTAACCAGTGAATACAGGGTACAGTGGTGGGTACGATAATCACAGCCAGTTATGAATCTTAGTGCACCATGATAGACAGCATCCAATATCTGCAGGGTTCTTGTAGGAGCGTTCATGTAAATAATGTCACCGTAATCAATGGAGGGAAGGAAAGTCACATACAAGATACAAGGCGTTTCCTAGCATTCCGAGTTAGACAGGATCTGTTTCTGAAAAAGAAACCCAGTTTGACTTTCAGTTTCTTTACCAAGTTTTCCACACGAAGCTTAAAAGAGAGATGCGAGTCGACCAAGATACCCAAATATTTATAGGAATCAACAAACTCAATCGGGACACCATTTGAGGATGAGATCAGAGGAAGAACTGCTGGGACCAACTTCCTATTTGAAAAAAGCATCCCTTTGGTTTTGTCGGCATTTAGGACAACTTTGAGGCGGAACAAATCAGTCTGGATGTTGTTGAATGCAAATTTCAAAAGCTGGAAAGCCTTTTCAACTGGTTTAGCTCGACAATAAACAACTGTGTCATCAGCATAGAAATGTATGGGTGCATCAGGGATGTTTTTACCTACATTATGTATGTAGATTGTAAAGAGGGTGGGTCCTAAGACTGAGCCTTGTGGTACACCATTGTTGACTGTTAAATAACTGGAGCAAGTACCACTATGTTGAACACATTGCCTCTGGTCTGAGAGATAGTTAGAGAACCAACCCATGATGTGTTCTGAGAAACCGATTTCTGAGAGCTTATGACACAAGATGTTCTGATCCACAGTGTCAAAAGCTTTAGACAGGTCTAAGAAAAGTGCGGCACAATAATCCTTAGCATCCAGTGCTTCAACAGTGTTGAGTGTTAAGTGTTTCTACTTTAAGAAACTTCAGGAACCACAAGTAAACCTGAAGTCTGAGAGTGCAGTGCTCTGTTTAGAAACTTTGAAATGAATGAACGATGAATAAGATATTTATTGTAAGATGGAACTAGGTTGCTGTATTTAAACTATTTTATAAATATGACAGGAAGCCAATGATATTAAGCTAAAACTAGAAATATATGGTCTCTCCTACTAACTCACATTAGAACTCTTGCAGCAGCCTTTTGGATCAGTTAAAAACTTTTTTAATTGTTTTTTTTAGACACCTAGATAATAAAGAAGTACAATAGTCTAACCTGGAAGTGACCAGATGCATGAACCAGCTTCTCTGCATCATTTTGAGACAAGATATTTCTTATCTTGGTGATATTACACAGGTGGAGGAAAGCTTTTTTGGTAACTTTTTTAATGTGGTGGTAAAAAGACATATCCTGATCAAAAATAATATATATATAAGTTTATTCCTAAGAAGCTCAGGTCCAAAAACCTAAACCACTGTCTTATCTGAGTTTAAAAGCAGAAAATTATGAATCATTCGTGATTTAAGTTCTCCAAGACATGTTGTTAATCTAAGCTACTGATCGGATTAATCAGGTTTCATGCATACATATAACTGAGTATTGTCATGGTAACAATGACAATTTATTTTGTACTGTCCAACATCTTCACCTAATTGAAGCATAAAGTAAAGTGTTTTGGTCCAAACTTAGTGACTAACTTTTGTGTAACAAGATTCATTGTTAACACAAACAAACTAAAATCTGTCAGATAAATGTGATTTAAATGTTTTAGAGATGATATTCTAATCCAAATGTAATGTTAGCGCCTATGTAATAAGATATTGTGATCTACTGTATCCAGTACAGTGCTGAGACCTAACAGGACAAGTATAGATAAACAAGTCCACTGTCTGAGGCCATAAAAATAGCATAAGTAACTTTAACCAGCACTGTTTCTGTGCTATGATAAGTCCTGACTGGAATTCCACAAAAAAGTTATCTGTGTCCAAATATTCACACAACTGATTTGCAACTATTTCTCAGGAATTACTTAAATTAATATTAGATTAGATAGGTATATAAGTAACCATAATTCCTTAATTAAGATCAAGTTTCTTAAGTAAAGGTTTAATTTTGAGTGATAAGAAATCTCTGTGGTACATAACCATTAATTAAAGACATGTTAAGCAGATCTATATGGGGAAATCAATTAATGGAAACACCTCACTGAGCATTCTAGTTGGGTCTGGATCTATACAACAAGTTGATACTTAGGATGAGCCTATTATTTTTGACAAATCAGGGAACTCAGCAGGACAACAAACTCCAGAATCCAAACCAGGTTACAGTGACACTTCTAAAGCTCTTTGATTTAATAGAAAATCAGAGGCAATAGGAAGGATGATGTAAATTTTCTCCAGTCGGTTATTAGAGGTACAGGAATACATGGCTCAAAAGTGACTGGACTTTTCATTAGTTTGGATACATTACTAAAAATAAACTTTGGGTTGTATTTATTCTCCTCTATTAAAGATGAATAATATACAGTTCTAGATTTACGAAGGGGTTTCTAGTACATTTGTAT